AGAGTTTAAAATATATAATAATTCGCATAATGTACACGCACTTTTTTGTGCTGAACCAATCACTGAAAACTTTTGAAGACAGAAAAGTATAGTGCCGGCTTGTTCACCTTGAGACTTTCTGAGAACGAAAGTAGGACTCTATTGTTCAATATAACAAGATCCGATTGTGACGGATATCTCTAGAAATAGCGAATATCTCCAGAAATATTTACCGAATGCTTTCTGCGATGAAATTTCAGAATAGAAGAAACTACAAGCTATTGATTGTGCGGTGAATAGGGCGTGGGAAAATGTGATTTTGGCAACCCGAAAGCAGAAGATAAAGGCCAGACATTGTGCGATGCGAAAATTTACTCTGTGAGAAACCGACTGATCTCTACTTACTCGCGGTATTTCGTAATCTTTGAAAGTCAAGGAGGGAAAAAAGATAAGATCGCAACTGCACGCAACCATTCCAGCAACAATGTGACTTTGGTTGTCATTGCATCAGGCGTTTTTAAATTATTCTTGTGTATATTCATTGAGAAATAAGACGATAAAAATTAAAAAAAAAAATCGAATTATTTAATTAAAAAATCAGAATCTTCACCAAAATTATGGTCAATACTTTTTCTCAAAGAAAATCTTTGAAAGAAACATTAATCTTTTAGATAAAAAAGTTTTTTATGAATGTCAAAGTTTAACATCTTTCTGTAAAGACATAATATAATCAAATGTGCGTTGTTGCACATAACTTTTTAAAATAAAGTTTTTTGTTGTATTTTTAAATGTAAAGAATGATATGATAATTTAGCATTAAATATGAATTATTAGAAATACATTCGAGGTGTGACTCTTTGTTCTTTCATACGTTTAATAAATATGAACATCGAAAGCGTTTATGCTTAATAAGGATATAAGGAGGTAATTGGAAAGGTGAAATCAGCAAATTTCGTTGCTGCACCATTGTACAGAAATTTTTTTGCGTTTTATATCAATCAGCGGAATTTAGTATTGGCCTCACTTTATTCCACTCAAATTACCTTACAATAATCTAATTATAATAGTAAGTACGTCCAATTAACATAACATTCTCGCGGGACCCCGCCGTGAAAACGCAATTCTAATTGATCACAACGGTACCCTGATGGCAAGTTCTCAAGGCGAACGCGTTTTTCAGAGTAAAAGCGAACTCCTACCGAAGGGGGAGACGAGAAATTTTATTTACATCCTTTTTACAATACGTTCTTACAGTTTCTATTATCATCTAATTGTTATCGCTTGAAATCCGGACAATTTTTCGATAAATAGTAATATGCATAACAATAATTTTAATGATTGATAAGAAGATGACGTGTCAATTCTCTTATACTATAATTCGATATTCGTGAAATTAAATAATGAGAATTGAAATAAAAAATCGAGAACCTCAGATCTTGCCGTCCATCTGCTCGAAAAATCAACATTTTTCACTTTTAAGATATCTTAAAGATCTTTCTCATCTCGTTTCATTTTCAAACTTGAAAAAAAGAGAATATAATAAAGCTGAAAATGTATCTGGACAATATATACAGCAAATATATTTTTATCAAAATTGCATTCTATTTTGTTATCAATTTATTAGAGTTTACCGTTGATGGAATATAAAAATACATGAGATCTATCGTTTTTATCTCTTAGACATATATATCTTTAATGATTAATTAAATATAATTAATGAAGAGATTGTGTCACACGTAGACAAAATAGAGTCTTAACTTTTAGACGTCAATATTAGCAGTTCTCGACTTCTGATTGCAATGGACGGTCTATTCGCGACGATCATCAGTCATAGTGTCGTCCACTTCGGAGAGAGTAGGCCACGTCGCGATTATAACAAGTTACTCAGTCGTCGACGTGTCCCATTCACGAAATAAAATACAAGACCAACACGCAACCGGGACGAGCAATTGAGCTTGGGGTCAATCGTGTAACGTTCGTGGCAACTCTTAATTGCTTATTTACATCAAAAATTAAATTCTACAGTGTAAAACAAATCTATCCTGTAGGAGAACGTTAGTGTTTGTCAACTGAGTGATATACAATTTTATTGAGGATTCCATTGAATCATCAATGAATGATTGATCCCAAACTCCCTTACTCTTCGGTAGGCAAAGAGGGCAGGACTAGACGGCCTAGTAATAACCGAAGCTGATGTCATGTAACGGCGGCGCCACTCCCTGAGGCAGAGCATAGTCCCTGGCGAGCTGGTCCAGGATACCGCCACCGCTGCGAGTCTGCGGCTGGGAACGGCCGCCGCCGCCGTTCTGGCCGTTTGGCGGCGGGCTGAATTGAGCCGGTCCCTGATTGTAAAGCTGCGAGGCTGGCGCCGGCTCGTCGTAGGCTGGATTCTGCAGCAAGGACTGTCGCGGTGCTTGGGGGGGTGCGGCAGCGGCCGGGGTGAAAATGGGCGGTTTGGGTAGCGCGGGTCTACTCGGGGCTACCTGCGCGGGGGCGTACACGGCTTGAGTGTGCGACTGTTGTTGATAAGCTGGACGAGATGCCGCCAACTGCCGCTGCTGTTGCTGCTGCTGCTGCTGCTGTTGCTGCTGATACTCCTCATAAGCCTGCGCCTCGAGGGCCTCTTTGCTGGTGGTCTCGTCGAACAGAGTCGGCGGGGCAACGGTGATACCCTCACCAGCCGGCTGGAAGCCGTACTGGTTCGCGCCGTACTCGACTATGCGGACCTTGCCGGTATCATCAACGAAGCCATATTTGCCCTTAACATCGCCAGTCGGCAGTTTGGTCTCGATCTTGAAGGAGCCGTCCGCGCCCTCGAAACCGTACGTGTACGAGCCGTCCTCGTTGTGGCGATTGATCTGCTTCAAAATCGCAACTGGCGTTGGCTTTGGATTTGCCGGCGCGGCCGCTTGACGATCCGGTACGTCGTTAGCCGCGTAGCTACGCGGGGTTGGCTGGCTAGGTCGTTGGGAGTCATACTGGGCATAATCGTCAACGTAATTGCCGCCGGGTTGTCGGTACTGCTGTGCCGACACTGCCGACACTGCCAGCAGCGCGGCAAGCACCGTTGCTACCTGAAACGTCGAAGCACCTTTAATTCGTTTTACACGTTATTAATTAATAGACTATTAATTAACAGAACCAGAGGCTACTTTATTTACAATTAAAACAGCATTTAATTGTAATGTTTTTTCTTACGTCTTTTTAAATTATTGTTTTAATTCTGTTCTGCTTTCTCAATTACAGACTTTTAATTTTTGTGCATACTACCGTACTATGAGTTTAAAAATTTATTAGTTAAAGTTTAGAGAAACGAAAAAAATTGCATTTAAAGGTTGTAATAATTTATACAGCAATAACTGGGAATTTTATAGTTTCTCTCTTTAGTGCCGCTAAATTTACTGATTTTTATGTTGCCATTCTTGAAACACTCGTCACATTTTTTGCAAGCAAGAGAAACAGCGTCAAGGCTCGATACTTTACTCGATGAGTAAAACAACAATTTTTTGCCTATGGTACAAGAGTGGATATGTAGCGTCACGAAGTTATGAACCGTTAACTTTATGTGAAATGCAATCATAAGATCATCGTGCGACAACGCGTGAACTTAAAACTATCCAAGATATCGAGAACCTTAATCGCCAGATGCGATAGTGTTGCGATCGAGAATAGATCGCGAGGAAACTCGAAAGATATCGGATTCTGCGATCGCTCGTTGTTAGCAAAACGAGTCTCGAGATCCGCGCACATTGACATGGAGAATCGATAAATCAATTTATTAATCATTCATGCGTACTCTCTCTTTCCCGTGCGCATGTTGACTCTAAAATTAGCGAGAAATAATTAATTAATTCATTCGATTTGCATGGTATGCTTCCTGTAACTCGAAATGGGCGAACGTGAAATACCGAGAAAAGGCGTTTAAACCAGACTTAATTAACCGACTCGAATTAATCGCACTAACTGTTAATTAAATCTCCGCCTCATGAAAATTATCTGCTTTTATCATATCACCATTTATTGCAATATTTATGTTTCGTCATTATCTTTTATCGACCTATTAGTATAAATTCCTCTATTTCTCAATATAGCAGCTATTTTACATATCACGCAAATATTTGCGCGTTGCTAGCTCAATATTAATTTATAATCCTTATTTCTATTTTATGTATTTTAACTACGACTAGTTTTCTATCTTTTTTTATATGCTTGTTCTATAAGCAAGTTTAAATTACTGGATAAGAATAATGCATTTCTTTTTCTCTTTCTGTTTTTATGCAATCTCTTTATAAAAGAAAAATAAAATAAAAAATGATTTGAAAGTGCAGAATATTTCTGCCACAGAAAAACAGAGAGAAGTATGAAAAAAGAATTATTTAATGTCTTACATGACTACATTACGGCATAGAAGTTAATTAACCAGTTGGTTAACCGATCTAATGCAGTCGACCTCGAGAATTGTTCATATTCTCGTCGGTAATCGCACGCGACCGCAGTCGAGCATAATGATGAATTATATAATCCTCTTTCCGCAAGCGTCAGTAGGCGCGCTATAAAAATAAATGCGTCTCGCACGGCTCATAATAGGTGAAACCTTAATAAATTTTTCCGCGATGTGGAAGAAAGTAGGAAACGGGATCACAAGAGTTGCGCAACGCGACCAAGCCTATTCGTTGAATGCCAGCCGTTTTCGATCGTTTCGCTTCTTGCCGCGAATTTAACGATTTCAACAGTTAGAATCCTGATATTCCTAAATAATAATAAAAGAAAAATATAAGACAAAATAAATTTTTAATGAATTGATGCGAAAATTCGACGAGGATTTTAGCCAGATGTTCTTCAATCCTAATCTCGAGATTCCTTTGAGAATCGCTTTTAACAATTGCACGAATTTGTAACTTCTATAATAAACTGCGATTCTTTACATGATTCTTTATCGCAATAATTTTATAAAATAATTTTTTTTGTGACAAGCGTAAAAACACAGGGGATGGAAAATCGAGAGAAGTGTAAGTACTGTTACTTGAGAAAGATAAATGAAATGAATTCTTCAGGACTTCTAGAATGAAATTTCCAAGCTCACAATACGGATATGCCACTGATCACAGTCACAATCACATCACACACGATTTCCAATCGCTCGCGCTCGCGTTTTTCGAGGCAAGAATTTGGCGAGAAGTAAGACTAACAACTCATGAAGAGAACAATGACGATTACGATGATGCTGATGATGCACTCGGATACATACCGTCGCGAGGGTGTGCATCGTGTTTCCCGGCGGTGTCGATGGTTGTGTTAGTGTGTGTGAATGTAAGTAGGCAGCGAGGCTAGAGTACCGACGATTGCTCGAACTGAGGCCCTCATATACCTTACTGGAGCCCCCCCGTTCCTGCCAACCCCCGCTTCCTCTCACTGCACTCCTGTCCGCTCCGGGGGACTTTCACTATCTATTCGACTCCTGTACGTATGTACGGTCGCCTTGTCTCGTTACAGCACCTTATATCCCTTAAATATTCCCCACCAGCCTTCTCTGGTTTTCTCGGGAATCTGGAAAATCGCTCGGTTGATTAATCCGCGGATCGATTACGGCTAGAATTTCATCATTAAGAGCATTATAGTGCTCGAATCAAGCTACTTTGAAAGATTATCTATCGTATTCTATCGTTTCTATCGTATTTTACTCACTGTTAAAAATGGGGGGTGACTTGGGAAATCGATATAGCAAAAATTGAAAAAAATTTCCTTTGTCTTTCGACATCTTTTTGAACAAGCGACTCACTTAGAAATTGTTAATCGATACCGATGTTGACGATCATGTAACTTGTCCAGACGAAAAATTGGATCGGTTTTGTGAAACTGGTGTGCCAAGTTTCTAAAGTGAGATATTATGTAAAACTGGCAATAGGTACAGATCGGGGCCACGAAAGAGAAATTACGAGGGAGCGCTGTTTCAAATAATTTGAGTGCCCTCGTTCTTATCACTGATCACTGTTTCGCCTCCCAATTGCGGGGCCGAAAGCTCTAAAAAACGAGCTATTTTATCTACGCCATGTCGTTCAGTCCTTCCGCAGCAGCGAAGCCATTTTAAATCCAGTTCATTGGACCACCAACTTGACAGGTTTTACAACTCCTGTGTCACGCACGTTTGTAACTACCCTGTGCACATATTCATACGTTTCAAAATTAATCTACAATTTACAAATTAAGTTTACTCATGTCTGTTATATAAAAATTTAAATAAATTCTTAGATCGCAGATATTACGATGTTTCACAACGCTCGAAAAGTAAAATAAATACTATTATATTTTATAATTTAAAAATAGAAATATTTTTTGTAAACTTTTAATCAATCTATAATCAAGTGTGAAATATTATTAATATACTTTCTGAAGGGTTAAATTTTTATTTACTGAAGTAAAGAATATCTCATGTGAGTATCATAACGCATACTTGACCATCAGCTATTAAAGTTAATGAGTGGATGTAAGTTTCTTTACGGACTATGCTACTGAAGTATTTCCCATCGAAATCGCACTTCCTGTGAACATGTAAATTGTACGGGATCGTACGTACGAGAATCAAGTGTAATTGACCGCAATTCGAAGCATCGAGCTTACGTAATATCAATCTCAACAATACGTTCTGCCCCGCGACACTCACTCTCGTTCATGCTCAAGTAGTATCTCGAAAAAGAGAAAGTGTTATTACATATCGCCCCGCCCTGATTTGATTATACATATTCGCCATAGATCAAATATCGATCACAGCAAAATTATAAAGAAATATCTTTTTATATTCCCAATTACCATTATTATGTTAACATATAATAATTTTCGCAAATAGAATATGGAGATATGTAGAATTTTTCACTGGTAGAATATGTATTTTTGGATTATAAGTGGAAGAAAGAGAGTTGAAATACGAATAACCTTTGACGATCGTACGACGGTAGTCTGGTCTCCGTTAGATTCCGCATAGTCTGAAAATGGAGAGCGCGGCATTGAGTCTCAAAATATAACGGCATGACTCCCGTTCGTCTCCTTGAAACTGACCGAACGCAAGGTTGAGCAGCGATTCGGTAAAATGGAGTACGGCCTTTGCAGGGGCCGGACGGCCGGTCTCTCATGATGTTTTCACCGGAGTTTACGAAACGTGCCGCGAATCGCATAGGTTCCGCCTGTGAAATTATGCGGTGGATCGGCATTTTGTAACTTTCTATCGGCATATTAGACGGCTGGCCAACCGCTCGACCGATATTCCCTTATTTCGTTAGCTAATTTTTCCCGCCACGTCACGCGCCAATTAATGACTGATAATATGTCGGCGAATTCGCGCTCGCCGACCCTTTTTAACATCATTTTACCTAATTATTTTACTTGACAATTTATGAAATTGTATTGAGACGTATGAAATTGTGTAGTGTTAATAAAATATTTAATAGAGTAATATAATATAGATATTTGTGCTCACTTGTACGCGCAAAGTATATTTGTAAGAACGATGTGTGAATATATGAGATATAAATATACATATTTAAAAAATGAGGAAAGAATTAAGGGAAGAGAAACGTTTTCATTTTTCATACTCTTATAATGCAATTGTCTTCAAGGTTCTCGAAGTGATTACGTTGGTACTGTTTAACGATGACTTCCACGACGAAGACGTACCCCACGCTTAAGACTCATAATAATTATTCCTGAACAACCCAGATTATGTCTGCATTTACAGTTTCGTTTCGCTGAAGATTTGTCTCGCGGCGGGTTCCAATGCCATTTGGTGAAAGGGAACAAAATATCGGTCATTTTTTTGTATCCACCAAAAAAAGAATTTTAATTTTATAACTAACAGATTAATTTATTGGTTTTAGCCATTGGTTTTGCTTTTATCAAATTATCTATTCTTAGTTTTAGCTTCACAAAATCTCGTTAAATTAATTGATGACATTTAAACGATGGCGATTAATACTTGTTTTATATCCCTTTGATATATAAAATATAAAAATATCATTTATATTTCTAATAATAATAAATATTTAAAAAAACGAATATACCTCATCATAAACTTCTTTTTAATTTCGATTAATAATATCCAATCAGCATGTACATATTACAGAATTCTGTATAATTTGCTGTGAAGTATGCAAATCTCGCCTTTCACAAGTCGCTCTCTTCGAAAAGCCGCACTGCCGCTAGCCCTGACATTTACTAATATAGATCATCTCAGGTCGAATTAGTTCCTTGATATGCGATCGTAGGACGTACAGCAATGGTGCTTATGATAACACATTTCTCTTGCATCTCGCTGCGCCATTCCCCTATTTTTATTGTGTAACTATTACGAGCGTTGCTGCAATGATTTGCAACAGACATCTATCGACGCTCTTACCACAACTAGGCCAACAATGAGATGTCAACGTAATTATGAAGAACGTTTGGTTGCCGAGCCTGACGATTTTCTCAATTATCGAAATATTTTTTTAACGGACTGACGGTGATTCTTTTATTCGCCTAGTAGCTTCCTCCGATTAATGTTACGACGCTTTCTATTTTTATGCAACAATCGGAATTACCTGCTTAACGATAACTCGTTCACACAGTTTACTCTGGAACTGGATCTCCGTTCCACAAAAACTCGATGGTGTTCGCTATAAGAGAAGGTGATGTGATTAGCGTCTATCTAAAACGTAAAAGTCGTTCTGTCGTCGAAGCACGCGCCACGTATGTTTAAAAAAAAAGGAACCGGTATGGATACAATTATGTATAAATTATTTTATTTACACAATATTAATTATTATATCTATGTTATGCTTCTAAGGTGTAAATTCAATATTGAGAAATTATATATAAATAAAATTATTTTTTAAATAATTTTTCTAAAAGTTACATTTTTATTGAGATATATAATATAGAACATATTAATTAATCAAAACTATATTATCATTTTTATCGTAGCATTAATTGAAATAATTTTATTAAGAATTATATGAAGAATTTCAATATTAAAAAATTAACAGTATCCCCAATGAATATTAACGATAATGAAAAAATTTATCTTATATATGAAGAAAATATAATATTTTTCACATTTATTAACATTATATAACATATTAAATTTTATTTTTTAGCCTGTGAAATCAGTAATGAGTAAAGACATTGTCCTAATTGTAATTAATTGTAATTTATTTCAGAGAATCATACGTGTGAATTTTCGATGGAACAAATAATCATTAGTAGTACGTGACGAAATAAATGTTAATTCTCTTCTATTGAATCTTTCTTTTTTTTTTTATTATATAACACTTACAATAAATTCCAATGCAGTAAATATAAATTGAAAAAGATTAATAAAATTTGAACTGTTAAGAAAAATATAATTATCTTTATGCAATATTATATCGTATTTTAATAAGAGATACAAATGACTTTTGGCTGACTTAGCGCGAATCGACTCGTATTATAATTACGTGGTTGCGACAAAAAGAGGAAAGTTATACGTGTTCATTACTCCGATAAAGGAAAGCAAGTTCCACCAACATCTGGCGCACCGGACCGTCGCACCACGCCTTGCATCAGAATGTCTCGAGAGTGAACGCGGAATCGCGATATTGCACGCGTGTCGCCCCGCGATAAAATACGTGTCGCAGACAAGGGAATGAAAAGTCGATTACCAGAATTGACAAGTCATTATATGTAACGCTTACGTATATTTTTCTTTTTAAGAAAAATTCTCTTTAAAAAAAAAAATCCTTTTCTTAATCCTTTTTTTAAATATCACCACAAAAAATGCATGAGCATTGTACGTTTGCAACGCATTATGGTAATTAATAATTGTTCGATATTAGACATTAAATATGATTTAATGATAAATAAATCGATTTTATTTTTCCAATATATTTTATATATAGATACCTTTATTTTAATCACTTGTATATTATTTATAAATATGTTAGCTTAATAATCAATTTGATTTTTTAACTTTTTCTATATTTGCGGTAATCTAAAGAAAGTGTTGCAGCGAAACTTTTCTCTTATAAAATGCCTGATGCCTATATTTGTAATTGATACATATATACTCGATTGAGCGATATAAGCCGATGGAATCGAGTAGATCACGGATTATATTGTGAAAGGTGGTCTTAGGTGAAGTAGTCCGTGGCACTCTCCACGTATCAGGTATGCGCAACGTGTAAGTTCCATGCGTGGAGATTAGGATCCTAAATCAGAAGCTGAAACGCAATGCTGGCACGAGTCAGTAGTTCCTGTTAATATTCGCACCTATCATCATGAAAGAATAAAAGAGCATCAAAAAGAGGAGCGATCTATATATTTTATTTTATTAAATATATATTACATCTTTCCTATATTATATATATTAAAATTATATATCTTAATTAGTATCATTTACAGAAAAATTTTTTGTCATTCTTGTCAACGATCCATATAACTGTTTAATTAAAATTAATTTTTTATATGGAATTTAATAATGTTATAAAGTAAATCCTCAAGAATTTCTTTATAACAAAATCATTCATATTTAGAATTCATAGTATGAAAGTATGAAGTATCCGTAGTAGAATTCATGAATATGAAATATATTTTTATGCATCCATTATAATAATATAAAGATCAGACATTTGTCATGAATTATGATTGTATAAATGATAATGTGCAAAAGATGAGGACTGTTGAAAATTAAGAATTTAGAGAAGAGATTTTTTTTTTTACGGAAAAAAATCGAGCGGCGAATTTGATCCACTGCATGTGGATCTTTATTGTACACGCATTCGGAAAGGTCGAGTGCGAAGGTAGCATGTTAAGATGTTACACAACGATAAAATTCTTGGGTGTGTCTCGATGTAGCCCGATGGCGTTCCTCGTATGTCAGGAAAAAAATGTTAATTGCATTTTCAATCATTAAATAAGGACTTAGGGATCTCCATAATCGGTGAATGCACCTAGCATATGCAATTTAAATTCACTGGCATTGAATAGATTGTTTGGTTATGTATTGATGAATATCATTACAAACCGAGTCCAAGTCATTCAACAAATTGATTCTTCAGGTTGTCAAACCTTCGCTATCTCACGGTTACATCCTATTTTACCTCATGCGGCATTGTATAACTTATTCAAATGTCACATATGATACACTATGCGTTTAAATACGATTAAGATGTTGATCTCAAGTTACTTGCTAGTGTAACATGCGCGAATATAATTTTAGATTTTTTTATGATTGTGAACTGTGAATTAATTTTACGCATATTCTTTTTTCTCTAAATCTAATATACATTATTATATATATAAATGAAAAGAGTGGTGAGACACAAGCCAGTTGAAATTAAAAATTATTAAATTCATCATAGAAGAAATATAATTTTTCCACGAAAGAGATAGAGATTCCTAAGAGGCAAAAGAGGTAGAGGAAACATCAGAGAAGAAGAGGTAGAAAATATTGAAGTCTCATTTGAGACTCACAAAGGCAAATAAAATCTGAAATATGTTTAAATTAAAAAAAAATCACTTTAACTAAGTACCTTATTGATTATTCTATTTGTCACTAAATTATCAAATCAGGGTGCTATCAAAAATATTCCGATGACAATACTAACCAATTTTATGTGTAAAATTAAATAAATGTTCAGAGCAACAATGTCAAAATAGTCATAAATAATCTATATACACATGCACAATGTACGATTGTATGACTCCCTTTCTCTTTTCTTCCTCTTTCTTTATCGCTTGTAATTAACCGTGTAAGACGCCAATCCGGCATTGACGTCGATGTTGGTCGCGACGTGTCCTTGAGGACCGGCTGGAATTACGGGCGAAGGATATGCGGATTGCAACTGCTGACCTTGATACTGTGATTCATACTGCGATCGATATTGCGATCGATATTCTGGCTGGAACCGCGGCCTCACCGTTGTCGGCTGGTAATTAACAGGCGGGTTATATCTGAAAAGTCGAAAAAAATTAACCGATTTAAGTCTTTTTTAATTTTTCTTTTTTATTTTTTACTCGGCGGCAGTAGCGGCGGCGACGGCGGCGGCGGGCCCGGGCCCCCCGTCTGACGCCATGTCCACGCGTAATTTTTTCTTTATATCATCTTCATTATTTATCTTTTTGTAATTGTTTCTACTTCTCTTGTATCTACTTCTCTATCTACTTGTTTATGTTACCGAATCCACCGCCTCTGACTTCCCCTCCCCTTTCCCCTGCGCCCTCCGTTCCTCCCGCACATTCGCATCCTCCTCAGAGCTCCTGAGTTAGAACCGGCTTAGTATACCTACTCTTAGCCTTTGAGAGAGCAACTGTTCTATCGCTTTCATTTATACTCCATTCATTTTTAATCTTAATTCTCAATTTTTCAATTTTCTTTAATTCTAATTCTTTAATTCTAATTCCCGTTGAAGTGCGAAGGTACAACCGATTTCTCGTCAAGTTGAGCAAGTCACGATCTCTGTACTTTCGAGTGATTCACTTGACATTTAACCCGCTCGTTATCTTCTTGCGTTCTCCGCGGCAAATCTATCTTGTCGTGCGGATTTTAATCCGGTTAATTTGGTTTGGGAAAATTGATAAATTCTCTGTTAATCCATTAACCAAAATTGAAAACCTTAATCCAGAGATCCAATAATTCCCAATAAGATCCAATAATTCCCAACCATTTCAAATTTTCATCTTTAGAAATCTTTAGTGTATACTTTAGTGTATACTTAAATTTGAAATAAACTTTGAATTTTTGTATATTAATAATTGTTGATGATTAAAAGACGACTTAAAATTCATCGAAAAATTCCATGTTGAAATTGAGACAGGTATCTCCGGGATCAGCTGTATATTAAAATTTATTGCGACCCACCTCGGCTGATTGTAAGCTGCCGGTGCAGTTTGTTGCGGCGGATTGTAGGCGATTGACTGTTGTCTGTACTTAGGTGCCAAATCGTAACGTTCCCCGTTGGTGAAACGCGGATCGGTGTGATAGATCGACGGATCCTCGCGATACTGTCCATCGTCTTCGGGCTCATTCGCGTTGCCGGCGATGCTGTTACCAGTCAAGGTTGGCGGGGGCACGTTTATCCCAGGACCGACCGGCTCGAAACCGCGTCTGGACGCGCCGTACTCGATCTCGCGAACATTTCCAGTATCGTCCACGAAACCGTACTTGCCATAAACCTCACCGTTCGGATATTTAGACTCGATCTTGTACGAGCCATCCGCCGCCTCAAAGCCGTAACTGTAGCTACCATCCTCGTTATGCCTGTCGGAAATTCATGGTCCAATTGTTATTAAAAATTATTCAACTTTCTCACATACATACACACACATATGTATACTGTAATTTATTAGTCATAGTAAATTAATAAAAAATAGTAAAATGTAAAGAATTAGAAGAAAAGAATATATTGTCACGATAATGTAACTTTCACACAGAAACGAAATTCGAAGATATTCGTTGCGTTGTCGCTTTCATTCAGTTACGTAATACGAATTCAGAACTCACTTGTTTATCTGTTTTAAGATAGGTACTGGTGTAGTTACAGGATACGGTTGATTGTGCTGGGCAACCGCAAGGCCGAGGCAAAACAAGAGAAACAACACCTGGTGACACAAATTTGCATAAAAACAGTGGCATTCGGAACACTTTCCAATGGCCTCAAACACGCATTCGGCGAAAGTCGAATGACGCGAAGACGATGCATTATTATCATAATTTCTTGAATATTTCTTTTCCTAATGAAATAAACAGCTATATCAATCCAAATTTTAAACAGCTACATGAATTTAGCATTCGAAGATACGGTGATTTATTTCTTCACAGAAAGAATACAACACTGGTTTGTCCGTTTATAATGACAACCTGATTGCTAACCATTGAAACGTAACTATCCCAGAACTTATTAACGTAAACGTGATTACTATAATTTTTCTTCTATAGCTATAATTTTTTTAAAAAGATTTGCAATAATAATACAATATATTTCAACTGCAAGGCATTCGTACATATCATTTTTCACTGAAATTACTATAATTCTCATAAGACCGATTTTCTTAAAAAATAAAACAACACACACACACACACACACACACACACACACACACACATACGGAATAAAAAAATGTTCATTTTCGTAAATTCGAAACTATTGCGATAATTTCGATTGATAAATTCGATAAATGAATGCACATCGCAGAAAATATTTTTACGCTCCAATTATCGGAATTAAATTCAACCTCGAGAACATTTCTCGTTATATTATTATTCATGAATGAATGAAGCAGATGAGAGAGAAGAAAAAGGACTGACGATACTCACAGGAGGATGCATGTCTGGTTGTTGATGAGGCAGAAGTGATTGTGTTGTAGGATCGCGTTATACGCCGAGCGAGTCTACTTATATAGGTCCCCTTCGGGAGCGGCGGGGCCCGCCCATGGGCCCGACCTCCGCCTCAACTTCAGCACGCGAGTTCGCCTTACAAAGAGATTGAAAATTTCTATTGCATCTTCTGGACTTGGCTAATTTTCATTCATTCATTCGAAAATATAACTCAATTTCGTGCACTAATTATTACAGTGAACCATATAATACGGGTAGCTATGACTCACTGATCTATAATCAATGTTTACAAATAGGAATGCGTATTTTCCCACGATTTAAATTATTGCATTGGGATGGTTCGGAGTTACGTCTGCTCTTTCCAACTTTCGAATATGCTAATGCATTGGAATATAAACTAAACAGGTTTTTCTATTCTTGTTTTTTTTAATATTATCATTAATTACTTCTTATGTAAATTATTTGTGAGTGCTTCTTTAAAATATTATCATTCTCTATGATAAATCGATACTTCGAATTCTTTTCTCTTGCACGTATAAATAGTTTTGACGTCATTGGACGTTGTGGTTTCTGCCACTTATAGCTTGTAAATATTAATGTTAATGATTATAGTAGAATAGGCGTATAAGAATGATTATTTTTGTATAATAATTTTGTTATTAGTTCCTAGCCTGAAGAAATTTAACCAAGAAATTACATATTACCTTATAAAATGCATATTGCAATTGATGATAAGTAATTCTACCTCGACATTGCTTAAATGACTGACAGTCATGCAATGCAGCGTCATCGAGAGAAGCCCTTGACCACGCAAATCCTTGATTTTCAGATCTTAATTTCGCAATGTGAGACCCTCTTGTATTTTCATTTCAAGGATGTCTGCCTCTGTAAAATATGTATGTATCTTGCTGAAGATTTCTGTAACGGAAACACATTTCGACATAAGATATTCAAATGGCACAGAGTAGCATTTTTAATCATTAATCTCAAAAACTTTCTAATTAAAATTATTTTATTGGCGACAATTAAATATAATATTAAATTTATATCCATATTTATATACGTACATATCAGAAAAATAGAGTTCGCTATTTGAAAGCACATCTTTTTGAAGTACGTAAAATTTCATATCATTCTACGAATATTTATTTTTGTTTATTAGCACCTGATAATAAATTGTTTTTAATACAGTAATTATTTTTGACATTTAAAATTAATTATTGAACCGAATATATCCTTTTCAATATTATGATATCAAAAAATAAGATAATACACGATATAACGTTACGATTTTATGATATACAATTGTACAAACGATAAAATCGGTTATGTAATTATACGAATCATTAGGTTAACCCAGAACTTTTTCGATCATACAAGAGAACATCTTGACATTTAATGTAGCAATAATAAGGGTGATGCGGAATATCACGGTGCAACATAGTAAAGTCTATTGCTTTTTCCACTTTACCGTATATGCTTCGTTGCCGTGAGAATCGTACGGTGTGAAAATAATAACATCGACAATACTAATACTCATCTCTAATTATCCCTCGCAACTGGATAATAATTCAGACGAATAATGTTCCTAAATAAACTTCGACTAAAACTTTATAAAAACTATCTCTCTTATTTTTTTTGGCACTGTTTAAATATTTTCGATTTTTTTTATAACTAATATGTTGTTTCTTTATTGAGGTTTGTTATGACAGATCGTTTCCGAAATTATTAAAAATGAAAGCGATCGATCAGGTAAATTTCTTTCAGGAAGTTATTTCTCTTTCTAAAAACGGCAGATTATTGTAAGGAAATATTGCACTGTTCTTATAGAACATGGCGGTGAAAGTATGCGGGGACAGTGCTCCGGAATTTACATTCGAGCAATGACAAACAAAGCAAACGGAATTCCTTCACAATTGAGTGACAGCCGTAACTAGAGAGTTTATTACTCATCTTATTGATCGCATGTCACACTCGTTATATCTTTATGCAACGTGGTTGCGTATGTCGTAAGGTATAATTCTTACATGATAGCTCTCGCCGCGCGAATGATGACCATGTCAATGAAGACAATAAACATCCGCTTTTCATCAAAAACCTGCGAATCGATGCGGCAATTTCGAGACTGAAAGCAAATTTTAATTCCATCGAGTTTTCCATTCAGCAACATCGACTGATTGGGCACAACTATTTCTTCATGGATGTTATATAAGTGTGGTTTAATTTACAAGTTGTTACACGTTCTCACGTACTTTTTATATCTTCTGTGATTCTTTTAGAATATTATTTGCATAACATAAAATTAGAAAAAAATATTGCTTTAAAATTTTTTCATCTAGAAAATAATTTTTTAATTATATTGATAATATTACTATCACATCAATATTATGTAAAATAAAAGCTAATTTTAAATAGAATACGCTACTAACGCTACGTCGATAATTTGTGATATGAAGATTATAGAAGATAATTATTAGTTAGATTCCGATATGTGCTGATAATGTTACATCGCTGTTATATGTGATCGTGAATATTTTTTGTGAGCTTGATCGAAAGAGCACGAAGTTTATCATCAACCCGTCAGGTATCGACACTGCGAGTGAATGCAAGATCAACGCCGAACTTCGAGCTTTCATCTCGACTTTGCTGCAAGAGGCAATCAATCGGTAGGCTGAGTGGTACAATTCATATCTTTTAAGTAAAATAAATAATAGATATCTTGATATTTCAAGTTCTGGAAAAATATATCTTGAACTTATGAAAAACTTGTTAGAAAAATATCATTGATAATGAAACATTTCAAAAAATAAATAAAAAAATTGTCTTCTGAATTTATTTATTTTTCTAATTTTCAAATCTTAAAGAACATTTCTAACATTTATATCTTTTAAAATTTATATTTAATGTTTATATTTAAATGTTTAAATATAAATTTTTAAGGTTTAAAATATTAGCTTAGTTTTAATTTTTATTTTTTATGATAAGCGCGATAAACGCATGCACTTTCAGTTTACTTTTTATCTTCATAAAATGCGTAGACCGTGATGAAAAAATAATAGCATATGCGCTCGTATATTAATATCAACTCGTTTCTCGTTAATTCGTGAATTCTGATTACTCCGGAGCCACGCGTATTTTTTATACCTGCTGCGCGTATTCGCCTTCCCGAGTATGATATACGAAATTGAAATGTCACATAAAACAGATTAAGCTGATGTATAATAAAAGAACAATTATTATCCCCTCCTCTCGTTCTGTACGTTCCATTTATTTTATTATCGTATATATTTCGTGGTGTATCCTACGTATGCCTATACTATTTCGAATGCCATCGCAATAAACGTCAGTGTGTCGTCATATTAAAAACTTAAGCGACTTATGTGCTTTGGAAACGTTCTCTTGTTCCGAGAAGAAGAAGGAGGTTGTCGGTCGAAGTGACCGAAAGGAAAGAACGATTTGACAATGAATACTCTCGTGGAAGACACTTGACTTTCTTGTTGCCCTTCTACTCGCGAATTACCGCCGCAAAGGAAAAGTCAGCATGGTTAAACCATTATTTTCTTTTCGCTTGTTCGCAATTTGCAACTACTCTCTTGTTCTCGTATCTCGCGTTTCACGTTCCAATATTTCAAGCACATTTAATGTAATTTACAATATCGGCGAGACACACAAACCGCGATAATAAGCTGCTGTCACTACTTTTTTAAGATGCTATCGTGATACAAATATACAACGATTACCGCGAATGATTGTGCTTACATTATATTCCTTATCTCTTCAAATTAACAATAAAGATAACGAAAAGTTTAAGCTATTGCTAATGGGAACGCGCAAAACATGTTTCCTCGCCGTTAATATTGAATTTAATAACTCGAGAAATCTTTAAACGTGATTTCTAGATAGACGATTCCGTGTAATTTTTCAGATGCGGCAAATTGAAGAGGAAGGAACGATGGCCCAGGCTTGATTATTACGGGAGTTTCGATTCCGACGCGTGGTGGTACGGGGACATAACAGCGCAATGGCGCTCGGCGTCATAATTAACTGCCGGCTCGGCGTCGTATACAGTACAGCGACTCGATTAATATTGTAGCCGTGTGCCAGTTGCATGATTTCCCAGTAACGAGTCAGGTGCCATTTATTCCTGTATCATCCGCGGCCATCTGCAGCGCAGCTCTCTTCGGTCGCCGCCGTAACGCCGCGGTAACGCCGGTGTAATTTACAACGGCGCGAGCGTAAATAATGAAAATTTCCGACTGTCGAAGAGGACTATCTTCAAGATTTTTCGTGCTGCAGATAATGTTAACCGGGGGGCTACAATTATCGTTGGCTCTCGAGTTCTCGAATCAAGGATGAATCACGGCATTGAGGGGGGATCCGGGCGCCGCGCCGATCCCGGCGACCGGTTCGACCTTTATTCAAATTATTTCGTCCCGATACATCATCATCGAGAGCCAATTATTGTTCGTCCCGCGCCGTATTCCATTTGTAATTAAATTGCACCTGCAATTGAATTTCCTTCTGCCTCGCTTCGCCGCGAACGAACGGTCCTCCGTGCGTGTGACGTTAATAATATGTCAGCGCCGATTCGTGCGCATACAAAGATGCCAATTACGATTGTTAGTCGTCGAAAAAGACGTCGCGATCGAAAACTTGAATCGGTATATCAAGATATTTTCTGTCATGGGAAAGAAAACGGAAACAGCGCGGCTTTTATCAATTATTAATTATGCGTTTGGACCGCAATTATTGCGAACTGGCACGTGGGCGTGCTGGTAAATAAATAAGATCTCATAAATAAGATCTCATGAATTTCCCATTGTTAATAAATCGAGCCATTTGTAATTCCAGTTGCCGCCCGGATGTCAATTAGCAATTATTAGGCAGTTGAGAAAGCGACAGATCGCGACGCCGGAACTCGAAGAATATGCGAAGGACAGCTTAACTTTCTTGCCAGATATTTCTTTGATTCACTCCTGATTGCGAGTCAGGAGTTACTTAAATGCGAAATCATCATGGATTATAAACAAAATTATTCCCAAGAGTAA